ACTGAAAATCAACTTTTCGAATGCATTTTAGTGCAAGACCAATTGTAGAAGAAAGCTAAGACATTGAAGATCATTGTATCAAAGTTTCATAATTTTCTACCAAGCCAAATGCTCCAGACCTGCAAGTCAAGACAGCCTAAGTTGAAATCCCGTCAGAACTGCACTGCTGTGGAAGAGTGAAGATTTGAATATCTTTCCGATTTTTCCTAGTGGTGTGTAATATATGCTTGGAAAGCTTAGAGATAAAGCTACGTTTCTCATATTTTTCCAGAATTTTCTAGGAAGTGGAACAACCCCAAAACGTGCGTGCAAGTTGGCTGACGTGTTTCCAAGTCAAATAAGGATTCTTTCCTAGTTTGTTTCCTTAATTGTTTGAGATTTTGTTTTGCTTTAGGAGAGTTTTTCTAGACCTTTTTGAAGTAGGGTTTAGTTGTTTTATACTATATAAGGTCACCCTAGGATCTCTTCATGGTATCACCTTTTTCCACCATCATCTACCATATTTTTCCACCAACTTTCATACACCCAGAGAAATATCAGAGGAAGCCAAGAATTTGCTGCTGCATTATTTGAGGAGCTTTTGAAGGTGTTCCTGTGAAGATTCTGAAGATCAAGTCCATCGGCCAAATTGGTTTTATGACAATAATTCTCTTGTTTATATTTTCTTCTGTCATGAACTAATTTCCCTTGCTAGGGCTACGATGTAGCCTAACCATGAATACTCAATTTTTATAGTTATATTAATTCCTTATTATTATCCCATGTTGAGTATTTGTTACTGTTCTTAATGATTTAAATATCTAGCTAATATTTAATTGATGATCCAAGCGGAGACCGAGAGGAGATGTTTGGTGTTTGCTTCTTGTAACAAATACCATGACTTGAATGAGTGCCCGAGAGGGACTAACATGACTCATGCAGTTTTCTTGTAGGTTCTCATAGAACTTAATGGGTTCTTAGTTTTCTAAATCCGTTGCTCGAGAGAGAATGGGTTGTTAATTGAGAATACTTTTGGTTGAGCCCGAGAGGGGATATCGAATGAATTAGGAGAAACCAACTGTCAACAGGGATAGTAATTAGGGTTAATTGGCTATAAGAATTAAGTAGAATTGGTTATGGTGAAATCGGATGCTCTAGTGTCTCATCATCTTAATTTTCTATCGTTAATTAAATTGTTATTTTTCATAATTATTTTAGTTTTCTTGAATCAATCAATCTTCTTAATTAACTGTTCAAATAAACTTCTAAATTAATCATAATTGGTAGTTAATAGGAAATTACAGTCTTCGTGGGAACGACACTCTACTTATTTCTATATTACTTGTACGAATTGTGCGCTTGCAATAATTTCACAACAAGTTACCCTTGGGGCTTCATAACTATGAGTCTACTCCTGTCTCCCTCTCAAGCTTGTTGCTGGATGATGATCTAGGAAGAGCCCAAATAGGGTTGTGCCTTGTTTGTTTGTTTTTTTTTTTTCTTGTCTGGCTTTGGCCTACCCTGTAACAAAAAAAAAAAAAAAAAAGTGGACTTGGGTCCAACGTAATTTTAATATTTAAAAAATAAACCAACTTTGGTCCGTTTTTCAAATATGATACCAAAAGGGATGCAATGCAACAATGGATGACTAAAGTTTTATTCTAAAATATTTGCTTGGAAAGGACGAGACCCTTTGACTATGTTATTTGCACAAATTGCTTTACAACTTTTAATTTTTTTCTAATTGCATTTTTCGTTTCTTTTCTCATTGTAAACAAAAGTTCTTATTTATTTATCTCTTTATTGATCAATTCTAGATGGAAAATCCTTGATGCCTTAGCCAAATTTCCTGATAATTATTTGATCCATTGTTCTCTTTTACTCCATATATTGTGATGAAAAGATCAAGTAATTGCCACCATCTAATGTCTTAGTTTCCATCTATTGTCAAGCACGAGAGAAACAGAGGAGTCCAAAGTTGAAGATGGGTTTCACTAAAATTACCACTACCTAATGTCTTAGTTTCCACACATCTGAAATCACCACTTATAGTCCATGAAAAATCATTCGATCTGAATACTTATTTCATGGTGTTGATGCGAAAAAGTGGTTCGGCACTTTTGGGCTCAACTTAGTGATTTTGGGCCTTTGGAATGCTACAGGCCACGGTAAAGCGTACGATCTACAAGATGAGAAAAATGCTCGGTCAGGCCTGGGGCACTGGTGTGGTACCGGCCGAAGGCTCTCCGATACTTAAGTAAGTTCAGATATAGAAAATGTTAACTGACAGATCAATAGGCTTGTATGCCGTAAGTTCTGATTACCTCTATTTTGGGACTGTTGCCCTCTTTTATAGACCTTGGGAGGTGTGCAATGTGTTTAGAATTTCGATGTGGGACTGTGGACGTCGATTGTGAGCATGCCACGTGTCCCAGGGAAGGGTGTTGCCCTAATTGACGGATCGGTAGGCTAGGTGCCGAAGGCGACCATGACCAGACTCGATTTTTCCCACGTGTCTTATTTTTATTGGCTGTTCATTTTGGGTATAAATAGGAGTCCCCCAAGTTCTTATCTGAGATCGGTGTAAGCGGTTCGGCAGGGACGTGCGGTATATTGCCAAAACGTTGGCATTTGTCGCATTTCTTCACCATCTCTATCGCGTCCCGATGCATGGTCGCCCAATAGTACCCTTGCCGAAAGGCCTTGTGTGCCAGTGACCGGGAACCTGAGTGGTCACCGCACATGCTGTTGTGAATTTCCGTCAGGACAAAGTCCCCCTGATCGGCAGTAACGCATTTCAGGTAGGGGGTCGTATAGCCACGTCTGTAGAGGATGTCGTTGATAACTGTGTACCTTATTGATCGGTATCGTAGTTTCCTCACTTGTGCCTGTCCTCTGGGAGGGTATCGTTCGTTAAGTATGGTACATACGCCAACCGATGCAGTGCTTGGTTCGGCAAGGATCTCGACAGAGACCTTTTGGCCAACCTTGTCGTTGATTGCCGAAGCCAGCCTGGCTAATGCGTCGGCATGATTGTTCTTCAATTTGGGCACCTGCCGAATCCCGTAAGCCTGAAACTTCTGGAGCAATCGATGGGCCGATGATAAGTATGCCGTCATATATATATCTTTGGCTGCAAAATTGACAGTTATTTGGTTTACGATGAGTTTGGAGTCGTTGTGGATGCTGACCTGCCTAGCTCCTATTCTCTTTGCTAGCCGAAGGCCAGCTAAGAAGGCTTTGTATTCTGCTTCGTTATTGGACGTTCGAAGCCAAATCAAAGGGCATATTCCATTTTGATCTTATCGGGGGCGGTGAGTACAAGGCCAGCCTCACATAGATGAAGTCTGCTACTGCCTGACCTTTCTCGACAGGTCTGGGTTTGAACTGCACACCAAATTCCCCCAATTGGATGGCCCATTTGACCAATTTGCCTAACGTTTCGGGTTTTGGAATACTTTCCGAAGAGGCTGGTTAGTCAAGATGGTGTTAGTGTGAGCCTGGGAATAGGGTCGAAGTCTTCGTGCAAACGTTACCAGAGCCAGGGCCAGTTGCTCGAGTGGGGGGTACCGAAGTTCTGCGTTCTGCAGGGCTTTGTTGACATAAAAGATCTGTAACTCCGCCTTCAATGGCTTCCGTATTAATATTGAACTAAAGGCAGTAATGGATACCGACAGATATAAAAAGAGAATTTCTCCGGGGAGGGGCTTTGAAAACAATGGTGCCTGGCCCATGTAGTCCTTCAAGTCTTGAAACGCTTTGTTGCACTCGGCGGTCCACTCTACATGGTGTTTGCCCCATTGCAAAGCCTTGAAGAACGGTACACATTTGTCGGTGGCTTTGGAGATGAAGCGAGTGAGGGCTGCAACTCGTCCAGTAAGGTTCTGGGTGTCTTTTTGTGTCTTCGGCACCTTCATGTCGATTATGGCTTTGATGTTTTTGGGGTTGGCTTCGATACCCCTCTAGCTGATCATGAAACCCCAGAAGATACGCCGAAGGCGCACTTTGTAGCGTTGAGTCTCATTCGGTAGTCCTTCAAGATGCTGAACTTGTGGGATAGATTCTCCAAATGTTCCCCTGTCGTTCGGCTTTTTACTAGCATGTCATCCACATAGACCTCCATCGTGCTGCCGATCTGTTTGGCTAAGATTCGGTTAACCAGTCTCTAATAGGTCGCGCCCGCATTCTTCAGGCCGAATGGCATGACGTTGTAGTAGTATAGGCCCTTATCTATTATGAATGTCTTGTGCTCATTATCGACAGGATGCATGAAGATCTGATAATATCCATAGTATGCGTCTATGAAGCTGAGCAGTTCATGACTAGCAGTGGCGTCTACTAACTGATCGATGCGGGGCAACAGGAAGCTGTCCTTTGGGCAGGCTTTGTTCAGATCGGTGTAGTCTTGGCACCCCAGTTTTCAACGCCGTGGCGTAACAATTCCGAGCGCTTAACTGGTCGCCCCGAATTGCTCCCGTGCAGTAGCAGGTAGGGAATTTCATAAACAACATGTGAGGGGATATGTGGGCCTTTATCGCAATAAGTGCCATTCGACCGACTATGACGTTGTATGCCGTTGGACAGTCAACAACAAGGAACTAGTCGTAGACCATAGTCCTCTTGGGTGCCATGCATAAGTCGATTGGCAAACTGACGCTGCTGATTGGCTGGACCAGGTTCCCTGAAAAATTGAGTAGGGGCGAGAGATGTCGATTGAGTTGGTTGTCATCTATCCCGAGTCCTTTAAACGCGTCGGCAAAGATGACGTTTACCGAAATTCCAGAATCGATCAAGATTAGCCCAACATCGAACTCGGCGATCTCGGCTCGGATGATCTGGGGTCTTCATGTGGATAGAGGATCCCTTCTTTCTCTTCTTCGGAGAAGGTGATGGGCTCTTATCTGACCTTCGGCACCTTGGTGTGCCGGCTATTTTCGATGCCAAGGATTTGGGGGTATTGTGCCACTCTGGCATACTGCTTTCTTGATCGATTAGACGTCCCTGCGAGTTTTGGGCCTCCGCTAATCGTGTTGATCATATTGATCTGCCGAGGCATTCGGTACCGGCGCCTGATGTGGTCTGGCTATGTACTGATCTAGCTTACCCTTTCGAATGAGCCGCTCGACAATTTTTCGCAAGCTTATGCAGTCCTCGGTATTGTGACTATTTTGCTGATGGTATAGATAGAATTTTTCCGTATCCCGATTGTCTTGCCTATTAGTCTTCCGGAAGGCCGGCTTTGGGATGATCTCATTCTCGTTCATCAGCACCGCTTCATAAGAAGTATTAAGTAGGGTGAAGGGCTTTGTCTCTAGGTTGTGAGCTAGCAGTGGTGCTTGGTAGCTGTCCCTGTCGTATCTCCCATTCTTCTTGGAGTGCTCTTTCTGAGAGCCTCCAGTGTCTTTTCGTTTGTGGCTCTCGGAGAATCCAGTAGGTTTTTCTGTTGGTGCGAATGATGATCCCTGTCCTATTGTGGACCGTTGTATGGGTTCATCTTGCTGAGCCGTAGGCTCGGTCTTCGAATTGAAGTACTCGGCTTTGCGTGGATTGCCGCCTATTTCATCAGTTCGTTGAACGTGCGCCAATTGCTGCTATGTACCAAATACCGAAAGTGTAAGGACCGAATGCCACTCTTAAAGGCACCGAAGGCGGCCTTATCATCGATATCTGGACATCTCGAGTATTCATGGTTGAACCGCACAGCGTACTCACGCAAAGGCTCGTTGTCTTTTTGCCGAACAGTGTACAGGTCGTGGACCGAGCACAAACGGTCGGTCTGGATCATGAAATTGTTGAGCAATATTTGCTTTAACTCGTCAAAGGAGTCCACCGTGCCTGGCTCCAATCGGTAGAACCAGTTCAGCGCTGCTCCTGTTAACGCTGATGGAAACAGCAGGCATTGGCCTTCGTCACTGAGGCCTTTGCATCCGATGGCGGATTGGAAGGAATGCAAATGTGTCAGGGGATCTTCGACCCCAAAGTAAAACGGTATGCGCAATGGTTGTACATCTCTGTCCTGCAGTGAGCGCCTTATCCGTTCGGTGAACGGTCCTGGCCGAAGCCTTCCCCAATCAGGTTCCTAAGAACGAGTCCTATCGTCATCCATCTTCTGCATTCTCTGAAGAAGGAGGTGAATGATAGGGTCTCGGCTTGGGATCTCCTCCGCTGTGTAGTGTTCCGAACGCTGAGGGGACCTGATCGGGTTGACCTCCGAGTACCTTGTTGGAGTTTCCGAACGGTAGGTTGATGACCGATTAGTAGAGGGGGTGTACTTGTGGTCGGTCTCTGCCGTTGACTCCAAGCCTTCTACCCTTCATATGGGAGATTTATTCCCCAGAATCCTTAGTCGGGAATCGTTTAGGCTTGCATTAATCTTGATTGGTGATTTCTGCCATTCGGCCTCCCGATCCAGTAATCTATGGCGAGAATTGGAATATACCTTCTTCGGTACGTGGGGTTTTCCTTTAGGTGCGGGAACTATCAGTTGTTTAGAGGGCGCAGGCGTGGCCTTTGCCCCCTGTTTACCTTTCTTCTGCCGGTGAGGGGTTTGTAGGCTCTGAGAGGATCGGTTGGTCTGAGTGTTTTGCGTTTGCTGATGGTTAAGCAATTGCTGTGTTTCGTCTACTTTGGACGAGAGAAGATTGTTGTGTTCCTGTAACTTAGCCATATCCTGCCGAAGAGCTGTCATTTGAGCTAGGAGCTTAGCTTCGGCGGTGGTTTGGATTACAGAGGAATTGCCCGTTGGTATGCATGGGGGCAGCGCTGGGCTGGCTCCGCCTTGCCTAACGAACGGTAACCCTTCCTATGGTAAGAAAGTTGGCTGACGGTTAATGAATAGACCCAATTTCACATAGGAAATTTCTTGGCTTCTTGAGAAAGTTTAATGTATTCTATATATATAATTTATCTTCAACCAGATACAGCAGCTTTATACATACAGAGTACGTCTATTCTAAGTAAATACATACTAATTATTTGCTAATTATTTTCGGATCCTACAATCTCTCAATCTCATATAATTGACTAATTTTCTTTCCTTTAACACTCCCCCTCAAGTTGGAAGGTGGATATTGATGACACCCAACTTGCCCAGAAGTGAACAGAATGCAGGTGCCCTCAATGGCTTGGTAAACAAGTCTGGTATCTGTTCTCCAGTTTGCACATATCTAGTCTTGATCTCACATCTTTCTATTCTTGTTTGGGCCAAAAATTGACACACCCAGCCCAGCGAAAATTAGGCCCAGAATAAAGCTGCAAAAAAATCAAAGAAAGATGGAAGCCCAAAAAACCAGAAGAGACCAGCCCAAGGCTCATCAGAGCAAACAAGGCTGATTTGGGCCTCACAGGCCCAATATAATAGGAAGAGGGAGCCCAGAAATAGGAACAATCCCACGTGACATCTCTGGGATAAAGAAAAGTCAGCAATGGCAACTGTCATAGAAGAAGTGATTGAAGGGTTCATGACATCAAGTTGATTCTGAAAAAACTGAAGATCAAATCCCTCTTACATATATATATGTATATTCAGAGATTTTTCTTCTGTCTTTTCAGAGAAGGTAATTCTCCCAAGGAGATAGGCAAGTTACAATCTCAAAGAGGGATAAGCAGGAAAGCAGGGAGCTGTCCAGAAAAGGAGTCAAACTAACCATCACGGGTAAAATCTCACAAGGGGCAGTTGAAATTGGGAAAGAGATTAGGTTCCTTTTCAAGAAAATCAGGGAAGTGATTGCCTATTTGAGAGCCTATCTGCCAAAACTGAAGAAATCCTATTTTCTTTCCTTCCATTAAAAAAA